ACGCTAGGACCACAGCGAAACCTCCAAGAATATGATCGTTTACGCTATCAACAATATTTACAAAATGGCAGATAGACTTGCTGCTTAAGCTGCAGCGCTGAAGGAATTAAATCATCAAAACAAACTAAAAGAAAAAAAAATAGCCTAGCTTTTTAGTTTATCATCTAACAGCAAAACAAAAGAGCTGTCTAGACTGATCTTACCTATACCAAAAATATATATACAAGGATTGGTGCCCGCCCCTTCCCTAATGTGTCTATACATTTGGCTGCTACGTGGTGTAAAATGTATGAGCGCGCCCATCTAGCCTGTTCAGAATCCTAAGAAAGCACTGCAGCGTATGAGAGAGAAATAGAACTAAAGATGTAAAGCAGCGAGGCAGTGAAAGCTAGTATGATTAAACAACTCGAGGCATAAAGGCACAAAGCTGACGTTGTTGAGACAAGTCACCGCGGCTGTTTTGGATAGTAAAACATGTTTTGAAAAGTAATGCAAGATGATCAATTTTTGTGCAACATCAACGCTGTGACCTAAAAATTTACACTCTACATTTCATTAACTTAATTTTTTTAACTGGATATTTATTCATGAGCTCTAATGGACACTCAAGTGTCAAAATGAATCAGAATGCACGACTCTAGTACTGGAAAAGTCTAATTTTCCATCAGGCTGGACATCACGCTGTGTGTGAGTGTGTTTGTGCGCCTGTGTGTGTGTGTGTGTGTGTGTGTGTGTGTTTATGGAGCAAGAGATCAGAGGAGCTCTGGTGTTTGTATCAGGCTGAAGCGGTTGGAGCCGCAGGAGGTGGAGGTTTTCTCAAAACAGGAAACTCGCACTCTCTGCAGGGTGTCTGCACAGTGTAGGGCTGGGAGATATAGGAGTAGTCTTATGTTTTTCCATATCATTTTTCATTATTATTATTTTTATCATTATTATTATTATTTTTCACATCATATACTTCTCCATATCATTTGATATTGATTATCTTCACTAACAATTACATGCATTTGCCAACTGTCAGCAGTCCTGCTGGAACCAAACAGCAAGATTAATTTAGCAGAAAGATGTCAAATGTGCATCAATAAAAAAGAAGACTTTAATAATTAACATTAATTTAGTGGAAATGCCTCTGTTGGGCATAATCGATATAAAAAAAAAAGTTAGATTTTGATCATCATCTTATCAAGAATGCCTCAAACAAGCAGTATCAATATTGAACAAAGGTTCGATTTGATTTTTAGCCTCATCACTTCATTGAAAATAACCCAAATGCGCAGTACAAGTTTCAAACAATATCAGACAAATATCAGTAGTGATATCAAGGCATCCAGGCTGGCTTTACATGGTGAAACTTTCATACGACCTTAGTTGCTTGAAAACTGTATAAAACTAAATTGCACTTGCATCCTGCAACTTTGCAACTCAGTCGTGACAGTTGCAAGTGTTTCAACTTTCGTGAACCATTCATTTCACCAGATCAGTGGACAAGAAAATCAAGCAGAAGATGGTTTATTGGGCAGCTGAAAAGGAGATTGTCCTGTTTGACTGAAAGTTGGTAGTTTTTCATTGTGTCAGTTTGAGTCATGACAACATGCGTGAGTTTCCCAGAGTTAATGTATCTGAACCCAGCTGCACAATCAGCCAGCTAACTAACATCTGTTTAAACAGCTGCTTGTGCCAGCGTTTATTCTTCTTTAGCGTGCTGTTCTCAAGATCTGCATAGCTAGATTCAGTTTCTCCTCTCTTGATGGCCCCTAATTGTACACAGAGCTCACTCAGATTCATTTAGAAGAGGAGAGAGAGACACGGTTCACCATGATGGTGGTACAAACAATAATTACTGTTTGTTATAATTATGTTAAATAATTAAAGACTTACACACAACAGGTGAATAAAACTCAGATATATAGTATACAAGCTTAGGTATTTAAATAAAAGACACTTATGTAGATATGGGAAAAAGAATGGCAATAATAAAGAATGGAAAATATATACAACGATGATAAAAATCCTTCAAATATGTAAATTTCGTGTGTGTGTCAAACTGCACTGAAATTATGTTGCAGGCAGTTCATGACATGCAACTAGTTGCATGAAAGTTTCACCGTGTAAAGCCAGCCTTAGTGGAGGGCCAGAGAAGGTCACCATAGCTGCATTCCCTCAACTAAGTCTGCATGTTTAAATCATCATTCGGTTCCTATTGCATGGCTTCGGATTTGTTATGTTGCGAGTGTCAGTAGGGAGAGCAGTGGCTGGTGAATGAGATTAAACTGCCCTCGCTGTGCCACAGCAAGCTGTGATGGTTTGCCGGCATTGTGCGTATTAGTGTGTCACAGTAAGCCCTCTGCTGAGGTCAGGCTATTATTAGTCCAGCCCTGAACCAGGAAGCTGCTTTTTTTCAATCTGAGGAAGGATGGAAGAAAAACAAACATACACACACATACACAGACGGAAATGTAGATATGCTGTACTTAGGAACAGTAGAGGCTACAAGCACGTCCGCATTAGGGCACTGTTAGAAATAAAGGTGCTGTGAAGGAACGTTTCTCGTTCATCAAGGTACTAACAATGTAAATGTTCCCTCAAAGGCACAACAGTGGTTTTAAGGTCCAGTTGTGCACCTTAAATAAGTTTTTTTCAGGTGAAAAGTTTGTATTTGAGTCTTTCATAACCTCATGTTTTAAAAACAGAACAATAAAATAAAAGTAAAACGAGACGGGGTGTGTGGAGTCAGTACAGCTTAGAAGATATAATTTCAGTGGATTATGGTTCAGTTATGTTCCCTGACTAAAGGTACTGAGATGAACCCTTGAGGGTCCCACCCCAGTGAAAGTGGGGGAGGGAATGAATCCTGTAACAAATCTGTCCTGAAACAGCACATAGTTTCATGTGGTTAGCTGTGTAGTTCTTCCTGGCTAATAGAGTGTCTGAGGACTTTTAACCTACTTTTAGATGCTAAGACTAAGTGTTTCAATTAAAAATAGATCATTTTAAAAGAAGAAATATCAGTGTCCATATCAGCCAACAGCTTTCAGTATTGGTGCTGTGTAGGGATGTGCGCTGTGACTAATTTTGATATTGGAGTATATATTGATATCCAGCTAACTTGCGTTCCATCCATGTGCTAGCGACAGGTCTGTCGTTGGTCATACTACAACGACAAGCTAACAAGTGTGCTAGCAACCCTTATTTTGGGCTCTGTCTTCAAGAGATGTTGAGAAATTTCACACCCACATTAGCTCTAAATTAGCTCTGGTTGTCCCCAGATGTCGTCGTTGTGAGATCATGATCTCGATACATCTGTAGAAAGTAAATATGGGCAGATCTGTCTGTGTACAGATCTATATTCGGGTAGAAATAATCATGGATTTCATTTTCTGCTTGTCTGTTTTGCTTGTCTTGTGTTTTTATTCTTTCCCACACACTTTTTAAACCCTCCCTCGAGTCCAACCTCGCTGTGCTTTTGTGTACATTGCCTTTTTCTGCTTGAGGGAAGTTGGTGCTCGAGTAACTGACTGCTATCCCGTGGAGAGACGGCGAGAACAATTCAAAGTCATAATTCATAATTGCAAGACAAATTCTTTGTGAGCTACGTAATGAGTCATCGGCGCTTATGTGCTGAGGCAGAAAGCGTAGTGATGTGCTTTAGTGTAGTGTTCCTGCAGAGATTCCACTTGACTGGACTAAAGCTTATTGTAGCTGTGAGACCGATACTACCGGTGAGCTTTGTTAGCAGGGCGTTTCTACACTCATTGTCCATTTTATCAGCTCCACTTACTATATAGGTGCACTTTGTAGTTCTACAGTTACAGACTGTAGTCCATCTGTTTCTCTGCATACTTTGTTAGCCCCCTTTTACCCTGTTCTTCAGTGGTCAGGACCCCCATGGACCCTCACAGAGCAGGTACCATTTGGGTGGTGGATCATTCTCAGCACTGCGGTAACACTGACGTGGTGGTGGTGTGTTAGTGTGTGTTGTGCTGGTCTGAGTGGATCAGACACAGCAGTGCTGCTGGAGTTTTTAAACACCTCAGTGTCACTGCTGGACTGAGAATAGTCCACCAACCAAAAATATCCAGCCAACAGCGTCCTGTGGGCAGCGTCCTGTGACCACTGATGAAGGACTAGAGGATGACCAACACAAACTGTGCAGCAGCAGATGAGCTATCGTCTCTGACTTCACATCTACAAGGTGGACTGACAAGGCAGTGTCTAATAGAGTGGACAGTGAGTGGACACAGTGTTCAGTAACTTATCTAAACTTCACTTCAGCTAAGTTAGCTAATGTGCTAGCTACAATACTTGCTGTCCAAACCTCATGCTAGCCCACTGTTTCAGGTTGCTTTGCCACTTTTCTTTAAACGCTGCATTTACTGTGTACAGCACATGCCTCTGTCCTTCAGACTGAATGTTCTGTAATCAAAGATTCGTTATTTGATTAAACCTGGCATCGCTGAAAGAACAGCACTGTAGTAATCACTGTGCATGTCTGCAGCAAAACTGACATTGAGTTTCGTATAAGGTTGGAAGCAAAATGTTTTATTCATTTACCATATTAAGGTTGCTGCTCTTATCTGTCGCGAGTCATTTAAGGGTGGAGGCGGAAGTTATTCAACAGTTAGAATGTTAGTCACTGGCTCTAGTCCCCATCTCTAGTGTGATGTGATGCTGCTAGCTGTGTAGTTTTTGCTGTAGGGTAGTAAAGTATTTGAGTAGTTTCAGCATGATGGTCTACTTTTAGATGCTCATCTTAAAAGTCATTCAATTAAAAATAACTAATTTTCCAGCTTAGTAGTTTTAAGAGAAAAGTATCAGCTGATGCCCCAGGATTTCAAAATCGATATTAGTATCAGAGAAGAAAACGGCATTGGGCCACCTTGCAGTCACAGTTGCAAAATGTTGTAAAAAATATTGTGCCTGAATCAACTGAAGCCCTTAGAGTGACCTAACGGCGTCTATTTTTCTCTGTTTCCCTCTTGTCTTTCCCTCTCGCTCTCCAGGTCAGTTTGAGAATCGTCTGAATAAATACATCCGCAACTATGAGGGCCTGTCCTACGACACCGACTCCCTGCACAGTAAGCACCAGCGAGCCAAAAGAGCCCTCTCTCATGAGGATAAATTCATCCACCTCGACTTCCACGCCCACGGCAGGTCAGTACGCTGCTCCGCTTCACCTCTTTGTGGTGGTCGTACCTCTGCAGCTGGAATAAATTCATATATTTTAGAAAAGAATTTGCTCAGACTGAAATGATTTTGGCTTAGATGATGTTTTTCTGCTATAAAACTGGCTCACTTTATGATACTGAACCACATATATGTTTTTAGGCAGACTCTTGCACTTGGCTGACCGATTCACTTTGCTGATAAGGTGGATTTGGTGGTTGTTTTAGCACTGAAACAGTGTTTTCTACACTTAGTTGCTCTAAAAGTCCCAGTTTGTGGTGTTATTAATTGAACTGACTGCTCAGCCTACAGCTAATGATGTGGATTGGCCACATTAAATGCAAACCTGTTTGTTTAAGGAGATGAAACAGAGGTGACTTACTCCATGTGTTTTATCTAGAAAGCACTGCAACGTGGCAGAATAAAAGCTCTCTTAACTACAGTTGAGACAGCACATCAGAATAAAAGCCCTATGCAGGACCACACCAGCTTAATCAGCAAATGGCTGTTTCATACAATATTGTTAATGTACTGTAGGTAAAAACATTAAAATGTACAGATTTGGGGTTGTTCTGAGATAATAAGGTAAAAGATGTCTACAGTTAGACTTTATAGCCCTAAAATAAGTTAGGAGAATATGGTTAAAATATAAAATATTTGCCCAGTGTGTCTCATTTTAAATAAATATAAGTTTTTTTCTTTTTTTTTTAACCCATTCATGTCAACTGCTTGGTCTAAAGCAGGGGTGTCGAACTCAACCACTAAAAGGGCCATATTAAAAAACCTCTACAAACCTGTGGGCAAGAGAACGGCTGTTTTTATTTGATTGGTAATTAACATTTTGCTATAACCTGAGCTAGCCATTGTTTATTTAAAAAAAACCCATCAAACACAGGCAGTTGTAGTGAACCTTGAAATATGACATAATGAATACTTAATATATATTAAAAGATAAAATAAATAAATATATAAATAGTCTACGGTACATAAGATTATGCACTTTACAGTAGGCGATATTACATTCCATTACGCACATTTTGCTGCAGTGCATGCTGGGGATTGCATTGCAGTGCGTTAGAAAAGGAAAATAATTTTGTGGGCCAGTTAAGGATATACTACGGGCCTGATCTGTGACACATGGGGTCAAAAGTGATGGATATTGTAGTTTATTTATAGTGGAACCCTAGATTAACATATAACAGTACAGAAGATGTCTTTTTTATGCTTTTATTCACAAATCAATTTGAATTTCCTAATTTCTTTGTGTTCAGAATGAGTATTCTCATGTGACCAAAAGACTAGATGTATGGGCTGTGGGTGGGGGGTATGTAAAGGCAATGTGGGCTGTGGGTGGGGGGTATGTAAAGGCAATGTGGGCTGTGTCATGTAACTAGTGGCATGTGATTACGCCCGAAGCTCTGCACACGTACGCTGTCAGTGTCTACACACTCTGTTTCTACTTTCGTTTCATGCCAATTTGCATGAAGCCATTTTTTTTGCGACACACAGCACAGTTAGTTTGACTTTTACTTTAAAGCAGCGGTTTCAGGTTGTTTGGTCTGTGTGCTCTGACGTTCCACAAAGGGAAGTTAGTGCGACGATGCCAGCTGCTGGCATCTGGCTGGGTTTTATGTGGTCAAAGACATCCTGTGATTGTTATTTTTCTTTAAACAGTCTCACCTGTTTTGTCCCAGCGCTGCGTTTTTCCTGTGCACTCCACTGTTGCTGCCAGTCAGTTTTTAATTGATTTACTTTTTTTGATTGTTTGGTTGCTCCTGTACCAGTTGATGATGTCCCAGTTTGATCAGAAGGGTGGTATTGGAGATTCTAGGTGTTACTGAGTCAGTACTGCCTACGATAAGCCTCAAATTCCAGTCCTTTAAGGCTATTTTACCCCCTATTGATCTCAGTTTACACCAATGTTGTGAAAGCTAATGTAAATAGACATTATCACAGACATTAACTTTGTCAGTGATGTGCATTTTCAAGTTAACAAGCAGTGTAAATGTATACAGTGTGAAACTGTTAGTGGAAAATAAATGAAAACTGTCTAACGGACAGAGTTTTAACTTCAGCTTTTTTGTCAAAACATGGAGGCCGAACATGGAAGCCATGATAATTACACTTAATGATAACAGTAATGGTATGTTCAAAATTGAGAAATGTATGTTAGTCATGAAAAAAAAACAGTGCATTCGAAACTCAAAACTTTTATTTTTATGCTAAAAGAAAAGAGCTTGCACATTTTTTTACTGCAGCATTTTAAACCACTTGCCTACCTGGTCTTAAACTAGCTAAACTAAGTTAACTTTAATGTAAGCTCCCCGGACAAAAAATTAATCACCTTGCATGTTGCAGGTGGTGACTAGTTTTTTGTCCAGGGAGCTTGTGAATAAAAATCGCTTTGCTTTCAGGCAAGAATTGCTTCTAGAAGTCAAGGCAGATCCTTCACAACCCATTTCTGAAGGAACACTCTGCAGGGAAATGTTTTTTTTTACAAGCCGTGAAACACGGCAGCAGTCCCTGTCGGTCAGTTTCGTCTTTAAGCCACAATTCTGATGAGAGTTTCCTGTAGACCAGGATTTTTGCCCCTGCTGGTCGACCCGTATGACTGTACGCTTCGATACCCCTGCAAATTCAGCTACTTCCTTCACACTGTGGCCTTCCACACACGGAACAAGACATTCAGTGCCATGTACCACCTCTTCTCAATCTATGAATCTCGTCACATACCCAGCAGGTATTTATAGCCCAGTCATCTTTGTGCAACATCATCTGCAGGAGCCTTAAAGAAGATAGTAACTCAGAAGTTACTACCACCTTGAACACATAAGGTGACTAAATTTTTGTCCGGAGAGCTTATGCGAGCTGTGCACTGTGTGGCTGTATCATTTACAAAAATACAAAAATATGTGCAGATACTCAATATTGAAGGACTCATGTCAGGATCAAAGTCGACTACTTACATTAGCATATTCATTAACAGTACAAGCACTTTTAGGTTGGATACGATTTTGCTTCTGAGGTCAAGATTTAATTTTGAATATTTTTCGTTAAAATCTTTTGTTTGTCTTAATCCTAAGGACCTCCACTTATATTCTACATCGATGGATTCGGCTCAGAAAAATGCTGGAATGTGTTTCAATACAGAATATTACAAAGGAACATGTACAGTACATATAATCAGAGTCTCTGCGCTCCAGCCACTGTTTGGGTTTGTTAAAGTCTTTCAGCCACACCTGATTTTTTTAATGAAGTGTTGATTAGATAAACTAGGTAACTGTAATTGGAAGGTAACTGTACATACTGGGCTTCCTCGAGTAGAGCTTTGGGAATGGTTGAGCTAACACACTCACTGAGAGCAAACACATCAGATCGTTCATTTGCATTTATTCTAGTGTTATTATTTTTTTAAATAAATAAATACCTACTGTTGGAAAAATGTATTTTCTCAGGGGTCTAAGACTTTTGCACAGTGCTGTATGTATGAGCTGTGTGAAGTCCTGTTTCAGAGAGGGCTTCATTCATGGTAACCTGAGTGAGAGAATCGTTTCTGGCTGTTTTCCTGAACGGATCTGTTCTCAGATTAAGGTTCCATAGACTGTTTGTCTCCTGGTCTGCTCTGTAGTCCATATTTAGAAGAGGTGTCTCTCAGGTTCTCCTCTTTTTCCTGCTATTGTTTAGCCTGGGCGGCCACGTCCAGTCCACATGAGGGTTTTGGGACCAGTGCACAAATCAGAGTGAAGTTGCTCTCAGATCAGCAGATACTTTTACTTCTAAAAGCTGAGTAGACTGGAATGGATTGGCCTGAAATATTGAACCTAATAGTGTTTTAAAGGACTTTGCATGTGTGAATTACGCTAAAAAGTCCTATAAATTAGTTTTTTTAATGATTAAGTAGAATCAGAAAAAAGGCAACCTAAATAAAAAAAAATGCCAAACCACAAAGCTGAACTTAGCTGTATGATAATGACTAAAATATTTTATTGAGATGAATTTTTAACTAATACATTAAGATAAACTAAGTCTTCATTTAAAAAGATTTACTTTAAATGCAGGTTATAGAAAGCAGTTTAAAAACACTGTCGAAAAAAAAATGCTGTCGAATGCAAAAGTATGAACACTCCCGGTCAAATTTTATTGCAGTTTCTGTTTGAGTTTAACATATTGGAAAAAAGTAAAACGTAAAATATACAAAATGTGCCAAAACTTTTAAACAGTTACAATTATGGTTTTTTGTTTTCCCCTCAATATGATGTGTTAACTTATTTCTACTTAGAAAATCAACAAAACATCATTTAACCATGAAGGAGTAAATGAAATAAAATTTAAAATATGTATTCATCTACGCGTGACCCTTCTGACCAATTTGGATTTTTGCTTTAGACATAAGTCAGTGTCTGTGTTTACATGCAAAGCTTTTTGCCAATTTTGGTTGAATAAATTCTGATTATAGATTAAGACTGAGGTGTTTATCTGTCACTCTACTCAACAATCTGATGAAAATCTCAGTTTACATGCTCACTACAAGTAATCCGATCCAAAATGACGCGCACGCGTAGAGAACCGCTTAGTTTAAACGTTACCATGACAATGAGCATCACGTGAGTCCAGTCAGAGTGAGATGAGCAGCAGTGCGCAGCGCTTGTGTTTTTAATTGCTTTAAAATGATGTCAGACTCAGTAAAACATCCTTCACATGTCCTTATTAGAGAAGGCCGAGAGGAAGACGTCGTGTTCTGAGACACATAAGCTGGACGTCCGTCCCACCGCCGTCTTTTAAAGATCAGAGCATAAACTTCGTCTCCTCTGCAGACCAGTTTCTGCTCCGCCATGTTGAACGGTATAAACTTTCACTATGATGTGACGGACATACAGAACGTACTTAAACTTTCCGATAGGGAATGTAATCAGATACAGGCGTTTACACGGTTATTATTCTTCTATTTAACAGAATATTTACAGGATTACCCACCTCGTTCAGTCGGA